CTTTTCTTCTTTAAGTTATTTGGAGGGCGGACAATGCTATCCACTGGATAAATTACTATCCAGTGTATTGCATATTATGTTTTAATGACACTGATCCATTGGATAGGGATTTATCACATGAATTCATTTTGGGATTATTGGCATGAGTGATATTGTTTTGAAAGTTTCTGTGATTGTATAGCCTGTAACTGAGTGTAATTTGAAAACATCACATACACTCTGGTTTGTAAAATGTAAAGACACTTGTAAGCAGTTCATGGAATATTTAGTCAAGAACCAAACAATTAGAAATTAGTGTTTCCTTTGGGTAGTGCAAACAGGATTGCACTCTTTAGCATACATTTATACTTTCAGCAAAGAGCATTTAGGAGTGTTCTTCTTTTTTGAGTTTACAACAAGTTCTAAGTTAAGTTATTGGGCTAGATTGTGACTTTAGGATATGGTAGACCTTCAAAGGGCAAGTTTTTAAAAAAATTTTTATTTTCATATTGAACAAATAATTTTTCTCATTTAACTACTGTGTCCAAAAAAATGTTTTGTGAAGTTTTAGAAACATGCTTGAGTTAGATGTGATACTCAATTAATTTGCTGAAAGAAGCAATGTCCACTTCGAATTGACACACTTTTGTCAGTTTGCAGTTAGATCAAAACAGAACAATTTTTGCCAGATACTGTAGGATGTTTCTTAACCTTTTCATTAGGTGTATGATGGGTACCCTTCAAAAAGTGCATCAACAATTTTTTTCCATGAAGGGACACCTATGAAAGTCTACCAGATCTTGAGACTTTTTTTGAAGTACAGAATTTTACCAGAAATGTTTTACCTTCAGCATTAGAGACTAGCTAGCTGTTTTAAAGTAGACACAACATTACCATTAAAGACTTAAGCTTTTAATAACCAGATTCCTATATACAAAAGTACAAGTCAGAGTGATGTATAAAAATGAATAAATAAGCTACATAAAAGGGTAAACAAAAAAGACGTACACAAAACTATTTAAACTTTATCGTGCAAGATTCTAAGTTCACAGCATGTCATTAAGAGAGTACTCTGCCGGAAGTATTTTAATTCCACAGAATATTTTAATTATATGGTATATAACAGTAGCAGTATAAGGTTATGTTGAAACACTTGTTATCACCCACTTCAGATTATGTTGTGATTCATAAGGAAGGTTAAATTATTCTGTGTGTGCATAAAACTGTACTCTAGCTCTCCTGCACCTTAATCAGCTGCAGATGACAAATTATACTGTTCCATGTTCTATAAGCACTGTTCTCTAAAGATTTTCTGGGAGGCAGTAAAAAAAAAAACACTGATAATATATAATCAGGCAAAAGTTTCAACTCACTTCATCCCAAGACAGGCATTTTAATACTTTGTCCAGTAAAATGAACTGGTGACTCAGAAATTAGTGTGGCTGACAAAAAGGCCTGCTGCTGGTTCCTCCAGAGAACACTTTAAAAGCTGTACCCCTTGAAAAGAGTCATCATTCAATAAATCTAAACTGGGTGACAACAAGGATGTAAACATCTCAGCTTGATTTGTTTATGCGATCTTAGATGTCTTATGTTGGAGTCTGTTTCACTGTACCATTCTTTCTCGAATTGAATCAATATCCTATAATCTTGAATAAAAGCTGATAGTTTCTAAAGAAACTGTTAGGGGCTGTGTCGGTGGGGGTAACAAAATAATTTGGATATATCAACAAAGTTGAAATGGTAAATTGGCCACTGTAACGATTACAAAAGCTGACATCTCAAGCGTTAGCCCTTCATGGTAGCGAAACACTTTGCTCCGACGAAGGGCTAAGGCTTAAAACGTCAGCTTTTGTAATCGTTACGGTGGCCAATTTACCATTTCAACTTTGTTGATATATCCTATAATCTTGGCTTGATTCAAATGTTTGTTCCATCAGCAAGGACCATTATAGTTATAGCAAGTCAAAAACAAACTGCAAATTGTTTTGTTTGTTTGTTTTAGTTTACGTGATAACTAGAGCACATTTAAGAAGTTTTATTAGAGGACCTAAAATCCTGAAGAAAATTTCAAATTAAGTTATTTAAGTTTTAATATTTTTGTGGCTACTTCCTCCTATAGGAGGAACAGTGGAATGACAGAATATCTTAAAACATGAAAATGACGGAATATCCTAAAACACAGAATGTCTTGTTGTATGAAAAAAAGTCTTACAAATTAAAGTGGAACTGCAATGAAATGAGCAAAATATTTACAATTCACAGGAAAATTAAAAGAAACATAATTTGATCATTATTAGAACCTAGAGGATAGAGGCTAATTTGAGCTAGCCCCTATAAATTATTATTACTATAATTACTATTGTCATCATCATTATTATTATTATCATTAATATGATTGTCTGTTACCATTTAATTATTGGTTGAATGTCAATTTGTAGTATAATAATATTCTTGAATCATCTTTCTCTTGAGGAACAGAGTACTCATGTGTGAGATGTGGCAAGTTTTCTGTTTTGCATGTGAGACAAATCTTCTGCAACCCAGTACCTAGCTTCTAGCATCATCATACAGCCCCTATTTCTGTTTGATGCAGTAAAACATTGTACTATATCTTCAGTAGTACTTCCGACACATGCAGTCTCAGACTGCCTATTTTTAAATGTTAATTGAATGTGTAATTATATAGTAACACACCTGAGTTTTCTCTATTTGACAATTGTTTAGCTTGAAGACAGAATTACTTTGGACCATTTGAATAAGATGAGACAAGCTTTTGAGGTGAGCTTTTATTAAGTCTCTTTGCAATTGTGTGATTTTGACTTTGTGTGCTCTAAATTCTGCAAGCCAAGAGTACTTTATGATTTAAAGGCATGGATTATTGGCATTATATTTAGTCTGTAATCAAAACAGAAGTTTTTTCTGACGTGGATAAATTTGTTTATTATTCAGGAAGCTGACTCTGATGGTAATGGAACATTAGATTTAGACGAGTTTAAAGATGTCATCACAAACTTGTTTCATTTTAAATTCAAGGTTAGTTGCTAGTAAGAATTGTGCATTTATCAGCCTTATTTCAAAATAAATTTATCATAATCATGGTAAAATTTCATTTCAATGGCTCAGAACAATTTCTTGTGTGTGTGTACAAGGAGTACAAATCAAATTTAATGGAATGGGAGAATAAAATCGTTCTCTAAAAACTGAGGATCAAGATCCTTGAGAAGTTCTGCGAATGTCTCCATGCTTGATACTCAATTCACAATTCTTAAGCCTCAGGCCTTGATTCTCAATTCACAATCCATGAGCCTCAGGCCTTGATTCTCAATTCACAATCCTTAAGCTTCAGGCCTTGATTCTCAATTCACAATCCTTAAGCTTCAGGCCTTGATTCTCAATTCACAATCCTTAAGCTTCAGGCCTTGATTCTCAATTCACAATCCTTAAGCTTCAGGCCTTGATTCTCAATTCACAATCCTTAAGCTTCAGGCCTTGATTCTCNGGAATTCGATCAGGCCTTGATTCTCAATTCACAATCCTTAAGCCTCAGGCCTTGATTCTCAATTCACAATCCTTAAGCCTCAGGCCTTGATTCTCAATTCACAATCCTTAAACCTCAGGCCTTGATTCTCAATTCACAATCCTTGAGCCTCAGGCCTTGATTCTCAATCTTTGATTCTTAAAAGTTTTGAGGATTGACAATTGAATTGAAGGTAAGACTAGTACTGTCAATTTACTTTTGAGAGCTACAGTGTATTTAAACAAATGAAATAGGAACTACAACTTGTTTCAATTTGATAACTTTAACAAGGATCTTTTTCAAACTACAAAATTGTATTCTCAAAATTAGTACATGACATTACACTTTAAGTTATTTATAAGGTTTTAGAATCTCATACTTTCCAGTAGCAAAGGCCTTTTTGCAGGAGGATGATTTCCATAATTTGTTACATTACCTTTACACATGAATGTTATGAGATGCTTATAATTTGGTGGTCTAAGTCAAATAATTTTGAATGCAAGCATTTCTGAAAGTGTTAGAAACTTGAACTTAAAACAAGAGTTTCTTTAATTAAAACATTGGTTTTTTTTTTTTTTTTTATTAACTCCTTATCTTAAGACAAGCTGTCTGGCGACTGAGTGAGATAGAGATTGTTCTTACACAACAAATTTAATTTAGTTTCAGCTATGTGTTTAAGCTGTTAATCATAATGATTAAAATTTGCAATACAATGTTTTTTAATCTTTCGTCCCTTTTTTTGTCTAATTTCATGAACATAGAATGAAGACCAGGTTACAGCTCTTTTCATGAAAATAGACTCTTCATCTGACGGTGAAATAAATTGGGTAGGTTGTTTGTGTACTCTGTTGTAATTGATTTGCTTGGTTAATTTGGTAAGGGACATGTATGTACAACATATAATATTTGTTCTTGCTTTAATTAAGAACTGGTGTTTCCAACAATTGTGTCAAATTAAAATGAGTGACATATTTTTTCATTTATGCCTGCCTTTAAATTAATGTGAGATATTTTGCCATCTGCCAATTTTTTAACACCAATGTTTTGTAATAACAAAAACATAAATTGTTTGGTTAAGTCACAGTTATGTAAATTTAAGCCTTGAAAACTGCATTTTTAAAGTCCATTCTGGAAGATTTGAAAGGAACTAAATTTCGTGGTTGGCGACAGGTTTAATATTGATACTGATAACAACATGCAGGTAAAAGATTTTCCAAATTATTTTTGTATCATTTTAAAATGATTTTTTTTCAAATATTATGAACTGCTTACATGTATCTGGTGCTTAACATTTAGGATAAAAAGCAAAGGTATAGTTCACATCTTTCTGTTGTTCAATCTATGTTTTATTTCTCATATTGTGGTACTTCTCATAAAAAAAGTGTTACATTACTCAGTAAAATAAGAAAAATGAAACTTGAACTCTCAATGTACAGCTTTAATTTTTGACTCTGGTATGGCAACTCATCTTGTTAAAGGGAATGAAAAATATTAAAACCTAGGCAAGAATGGTATTATGAATACAATGACATCCTGGAGAAACAAAATCACTTTCATCCTGTGGGTCAGGACTGAGTAATCAAGTGTTCATTTTACGATGAGTGAAATGTGCTGCCTTTGGTGATTCCTCATTGTCCATCACACCTGATCAAAAAACAGAAACAGCTATGTTTTAAAAGGATGTGATTCATAATTTGTACAGTTGCAAAATTTATAACAAATTTGATAATCTTGTCTGCTTAAGTAACCTTCTGGTCAATTTCAATTTTGAAAACTGTAGATTGCATTGTGTTCTTTAATTTATTAGTGTTTTTTTTATAATTATAATATTTTAATTTGTGACCTTTTTTAAGGCATGCTTGTTGGAATTTGCCTTGTATATTAAGCATTTTGCTAGTCTGACATGTGCATGCACTCTAAAAGTCATTGGACAATTGTTTCAAAAATTGTTCTTTTTTTGCATAAAAAAATCTTACAATTATAATGCGTTATTGGCCAAGTGTGCGGTCAAGATGGCTGGATATTGGTCAATTTCTTTTGTTGCATTTTATGGACTGCAATTAAGTCCAGGTCCATTAAAATGCAAAAAATATTTATCTTTCTTCAATAGTTCTTTTTTACTTTCTCTCTCTGTCAGGACGAATTTTGCACATTCATGCAACTTGAATATGCTGAAAAAGAGGATTCATACTTGCGATCTAAAGAGGTCTGTTAAAAGTTGTAGTAGTCTTCCCACTCTCCAGTTGTATTTAACAAATTTCAGGGAACATGTACCTACTGGGAGGGCCAGTGTACCCAGTCAATGATTATCAATCAGTGGGTATTAACAGTAGATTGTAAACATTTTCAAATTTAGCCAGTCAGGGATTTCATTAGAAAGCAGGCAACCTATGAACTCTGGTGGCTACTCTCCCCAAAGGAGCTGGCTACTATGGCCATTTCACCTCCTGGTTTTTGCATGTTTTTTGGAAAACATTCAATTACTACTGAACTGTCTTCCTCCTGCTGTATGTCCTAATATACACCTACTTCTGAAATTAATGAAATCCCTGCAGCTGGCCAATCAATAATAATTATTTTGTGCTAATAAGTTTTCTGCAACTTATTTGTGTGCCTGTTTAACATCATATTTTTGCCCTTGGCTCTTGTGGCATTGCAAGTTGTAAGTCAGTTCATTAAAAATTGAGATTTAAAATTAATATGCATATGATTAGTTAATCTGTTGAGGTATGAAATAAATTAAAACAGAACTGGTGTAAAAGAGTGTTATAATTGTTACCAAACCCAAAATTTTGATACACAGTTTTATTGAAGAGTAACTGATTCCAGTTATGTCACAGGCAATACAGTGATATACATGATACGCTTGAGTGGTTAAGGTTACTAGAGCTCTATTTACTATTACACATTCTGCAAAGTTGCAGTTATAGTAATTTTTTGTAAAATGCAACACAAATTTTGGGCATGTTCAAAATCTGTATCTTGGAAAGCTTATGGGTATAAAAATAATACATTGGATTTTAAGTTATTTTTATGCAGTTTCTCTTTCAAATTCTGTTAATCATGTTTCTTTCTTTTCTTAATCGGGCTTCTGCAAATTGTTTGGCTAGAAAATTAATGTGAAACCTTCACGTTCTGTAAGCTAAATCTGGCATCCAGTCCAACTCTTCAGTTTCTAGTTATATCGGCAATATATCAACAATTCAATCGTTAAGCCCACATAAATAAATGGTAATAGCCACATAGCTTGGACAATGCCTTTAAAATAACACTGAGCCTATGTTGCTACTGATGATAACTGCATTTTATAAATTACCCAAATATGCTGCAAATTAATTCTGCATTTATTTAGTTTCATATCATTCCATTTATTAAATTGTATGGCTAACATGTAAACTTAACTTTTTTACAGACTGCTTTTACTCTGCCTGCAATTATTGCAATGAGTGAAAACTCCAATTCCTCTCAGAGAGAACATGTGATACGACTGTGCCATACAGCAGACAACAACTTCCTTGTTGTTAGCAAGGTAAGAAGCAATTTTTTTTTATAGATTATCACATGAGTACTGGATCAGGAAAGAGAGAAACTTTCAATAAAGGAATATTCCCAACCTTAACAAAAAGGTTGAGGTGCAAGTTAATACTGAGCAATTTGTTATATTGAGTGTGGATAGAAATTGAGGATTGCATTCATTTAATTTTGCTTTGATAATTTTGTCTTTTGATCACCTTGTAAAAACTTGGCTGCATATACATGAACACATTGAGGAGCACTGTGTTGTAACTTGGTTACTCATGGGTAAATGGGGTAAGTTTCTAAAGAAACTGTGGTGCTGCATCGGTGGGGATAACAAGGTAATTTGGTAATATCAACTAAGTTGAAATTGTACATTGCATGGCCACCATAAAGAGTTAAAAAGCTGACGTTTCGAGCGTTAGCCCTTTGTCAGCCTTCTTCATTCGCTCTGACGAAGGGCTAACACTCAAAATGTCAGCTTTTAACTCTTTACAGTGGCAAATTTACAATTTCAACTTAGTTGATATTACCAAATTACCTTGGTTACTCATGGTTGTGCAGTTTAGAGGATTTGCTTGATTTTTGCAGTTTTCAGTGGTCTGGCTCATTGTGATATTTTTCTTTCACCCTTAAGAGTGATGTAAGTGCATCTAATTTCTCTTAACAATATCACCCCTGAATAAAACATTGAAGTCACAAGAATTAAGGAAATGATCACCAACCAAGGAACCTCTTGATTTGGTTTTGCAACACTCAATGAAGAAGAAGTCTCCTCTCGCAGCCGTTCTTTGTCTTGGGAGCCCTGTGTCTCCAGGGAGACACAGGGATCCTGAGACAAAGAACGGCTGGGAGAGGAGACTAATGAAGAAGCTGTACCATTAAATCTGTGAAGATTTTATTGCATCTTGGTTGTTATCACTTACATCATTATTTTATTTTAATTATCAATATTCATCTCCATGTACTCAGCATTTTAACAGCAAGTAGCAGGTCTTGCAATACAATCATGTTAATGAAATTATCTTGTTTAAACTTTAAAGGATGGTCTCGTTTCATTTTGGTCTCAAAATTTGGAGTTTAAAAGAATGAAACATGCAGTTCATGTGAGTATTGTCATCTAGGGTCAGTGGTTTTATACTTTAGGGACCTCTCATTAATGCAGACTTTATTAAGTATCCAGGCTCTGTTATATTTTAGGGGGGTAAGGGAAATTGTGAGCAAGTAAGGAATGCATGCAAAATATCATTATTAGCATTATGATTATACCTGAGCTAATTTTTTCACATTGCCAAGATGTTGTTGGTATTTTTAACTTAGAAAACCACCTTTTTTTTAAAAGAGGAGAAAGACATATAATCATAGAAATAAACTCTTCAAAGAAATAGGCAAGGCAACAAAACATTGTTTGTTTTGGACTAAGGGAAAATAACTTGTATTACAGGTGTACATATTTAGTTTTTCTGATCCTCTAGTCATTTAAAAACAATTGTAATATCAGTAAATTTGTTATTTGTACTTCAGTGTTGATATCTCTTTTCATATGTTCTCTTTTGAGTTTTTTTTTTTTTTTTTCAAAATGTTTGGTTGGGAAAACTAGTTCCTTGGCAGAGGGGTTGGTATAGTGGCACAGAGAAGCATCTTGCTCAAACTCCAGTGAATTGCAAGGTGCCATTGGTTAAAGTTGCATTTTCAGGACTGACAAAAGTAATAATATAATACCAGAAAGATAGTTCGTAAGAAGGATCATTAATTAAATTAATTAGAACTTAACAGGTAGGAATCGATAATTATGTCGCATTGTTTATTACATTTGTTATTGTGCTTAAAGTAAGAGTATGTTTGAGGTGAATTTATCACATTTTCTGTTAAACTTTTGTAGTTTGAAAGCTCAACAAAGAAGACAAAGTGGATTACAGATTTTGTACTCATGCCTCAATTTAACAAATTTATTATTTCAACAGGGTAAGTTTACTAGTACAATGATTACAGTTTTCGATTTAATTTGTTTTATTCAAGAAATGTATTAGGGAATGGGATTTTGCATACACTTGTAGACTGAAGTTATTCAAATTTTTACATAAGAGATAATAGAGGAATGATGTTCATTAGCAGGAGTTAATTGATTTGTACAGACTATAATCGTGATTTATCATTTGTTGAGTAATTTGGCGCCACACATGCAATCCTGTAGAAAACCGTAATAAAAGCTGTCATGTAGGGCTGGATAGGTTGATGTGAGTGGTCCAGAAAAAGCTGTCTGGCCCTGCACTCACATGGCCTTTTTAAAAGAAAACTGTGAGGAAAAATAGAAGAGTTTAAAAAGACACATTTTTTTTTTTTATGAATTCTGACTTAATAAAACAAAAGAAAAATTTTAATGTACAATTCATAACAGCTTTATTGTAATCGTAATCGTACTTCACATTACATTACATTACATTACAATTGGGTTATAGAAGGAGGAACTTAATCCCCATATTAATTCATGCAATCTTTTTTGTGGTTGTGCAAGTACCTGTACTGTTTTGCTTGGAACAAAATTTTCAAAGTGGTCATATTATGATAAAATGCTTATTGACTGAATTTGGTCTGGCCAGATATGAAAATATTTGGCTCTCTGTCAACGTCATGAAGCAGGGACCTTGATGCACTGAGTGTGAACATCATGACCTTGAGCCAACTAAACTCTCACCTGCCCCTCCCACTCAGTCAGTACATACACAGTATATTTGTCATTGTTGTTGTTGTTGTTATTGTTGCCTCTGTTGCTGTTTTAATGGGAATTAAAGGGTTAATTTTTTTTCTCTGGGATCATTAAAATCTTACCAAAATGGGTACTGTATTTTTGTTTTAAAACAACTTTTAAAACTGACATAACTCTTTCCTTGTAGGGATAGGGAAATTCAGTTTTTTGAATTATCAACATTTGAGCCCTATTGTCAAATCACTGGTCTGGAGACAACTCCTCTTAGACTTGATTATTGGTGAGTAAAAACAAGTTAGACAGTGTGGTTGAACTTCTCTCATCATCATTGTGTTACCATTAGACTTTGCTGATTATATGAATCAAAGAAAAGCTCTTCCATTTTCTTAAAAAGTGTAGTTCTGTAATAAAACCTAATCTGAAAAGGCGTTATTTTTACCTATAGGCAAGGGGAGACAATTTCAAAGCAAGTGTAAGGAGAGCATGAAAGGCAAGCAAAAAAGTGTTTTGCTCTAGCTCCATTCGTTTCTTACATTTTCCTCACTCTTGCTTCTGCTTGCTTGTAAAAATGTAAAAAAAAAAACATTATTGTCCCACAGCCTCATGATGATTCTGTCAGTGATACCAATAATCATCACTGTGTTCAAAACGCAAACAAAATAAAAAACAGATTGAACATTTTTGTTGTTGACATAATTATGTTTAGTACATACATTAGAGTATTACACATCTGGGAAAGGTTTCAAAAGCTGCATGTTTAGAATGATTTTAAAGTTGATTTTTCTCTTTCTATAGTTCAACAGGACAAGATGAATGTATTATTCTTTATGGAGACAGCCAGGTAATTTCTCCATAGATGCGTGAAAGCCAAAACAGTCCACTGAAATGATCATGATGCTCACAATGATAATGGGTGATTTATAATGGCAATTTTTTGTTCTAGGGATGTGTAAATATTTTCATCATGACCTCTGTAGGGGAGACATTAAGGTACCACTTTTCGATATAGAGTTTTAGCCTAAACTGACTAGAACATCAGTATGAATATTCTCAACACTCTTCTCCATACAACTCCAAAAGTGCTGACAAGGAGAATATGTTTAATAATCAAGAGCTTCTTTTGTTGGTGCTTGTTTCCTTTATACTGTGATTCACTTACTGCAAACAAAATATGTTCAATGAAATCAACATCTTCAAAAAAAAAAAACTGTCTACATGACTGTATCACAATTTAAGTACTTAAGGTTTCTTGGATTTGTGATGAATTTTTTAAGTATGTGTAGATCTGTATCCTCTTGATAAAGAGCATAGTCTGTTTTGAATTTGTTTCTTGTTCAAGGAGGTGCATGACATTTGAATGTAACAGAAATATAGACCAAAACTTTTATTTTTTTGAAGGTATTTGTTTTTGTTATTGTCAATGGTTTTGAGTGTTTCCAGTTTACTTGTGGATTTGTTGGTTTAACAAATTTAATATTTTTCCTCATTAATTTTACAGAAATTGGAAGAAGATGCCAAAAGTTGAAGGGATAGCTAGTGTAAATATAGATAGGTATGTAAACACATTTTCCTTGAGTGTCTCCATGTCTCTTAACCATCAGGTATGTTCTTTTAGTCGTTTCTTCGTTTGATTTTCATTTACCTTGTTTGTTATCATCATGATCGTAAATTACTGTTATTTAATTAAAATCATGTCAACTTTACCAACGGATAGAAACAGACCAATCACGACCGATTTAGGCCACTTGAGTTTGACCAATCAGTTTCTACGAACCAGACTTAGGCCCTCTTTACAAGCAAGGAGGGTAACCCTTGTGCTAGGGTTACCCTAGCAGGCGGGTGAAAGATAGCCCGGGTTTACAAGCAAAATTTCACAGGTATGGTTACCCTACCACCCGGAACAACTTAACTATGCTTAGTAACCGCACACATTGTTATCAATGTTCAATGGGTCTGGAAACAAGTAAAAAGTTGTCCCGGGTAGGCGAGTTATCCCCAGCAGAGCGTTTACAAGGCAGCTAGGGTTACCCTAGCTGCCTTGTAAACAAGTCGATGAAAAAAAGAAGAAATGTGGGAGCGTTAAGGTAACCCACCTGCCAGGGTAACCCTAGCACTAGGGTTACCCTACCTGCTTGTAAACAGGGCCTTAGAACATTCGACTGACAACAACCATTCACTTGACTCTGATGCATGATGACCTCCACTAAGACCGGTTGTCGAAAGGTTAGTCACCGCTACCGACAACAGTCCTTGTCAGGACTACACTCACCCGGATAATCAGCGCGTACACTATCACATTAAATCAGTTCTTCACGTATTTCAGAAACCAATGGTTTAGTAGATGAAAGTTGAGAATTTATCGGTACATTTGCTACACTTGCCTTGGTTATAGACTCACTCTATATGGCATAACCAGATAACCATGTTTTGATTCATTGTTCGTTTCATATGGTGAATGTGCTAAATTTTGTTTAAATTACCCTTGGACTAAAACACTTTCTCTTACTGATAAGAAATATGATATCAACAATTCAAAACTGAAGGCCAATTGATGCAGTTTTTACGTACTAGTTTTAAGTCTCTAATCCTGGTTTTCTGTCTGCTTCAGTGTTGTGAATTCGGATAATGCAAGGTTCACGTGTATCAGGTAGAGTTTAACGCTGTTTAACGGATAAGTATCACCACAGGTTTACCATCTTAAGTCTCTGTGGTTTCTGGTTTCTATGGTAATGGGTTCCTGTGGCATTTACATAGCCGTTACGAATGTAGTTCAAATATATTGCCTCTAGAATCTGTCCCTAGTAGTCAGTCATCGAAAAAAAATCAGCTCCGGAATTCCAAACATGCGTTTCGGTTATCGTATTTAACACTCAATGGGTTTTCCTGAGAATGTTGACAAAAACTTTCTCGATTCTTATTGGTCGATCTTGGCTTACGACATCCGCCAGAAGTACAAAGTAGCGCCTTTGGGGGCCGGACAGGGGATACAATTTTTCACATTTTTCAGATTTTTGTACCTCGGGTAGGGTGGCTGGGTCCGAAATTCGGAATTCCTTTTTGTACCCATCTTGTCCCATCCTCGGAGACCCAGGGGCTGAGTCGATTTCAAGTTAGGGCATGAAGAGCCCCTGGGGACATTGTCTTACAAGACTAGTTCCAAACGGTCGGAGTCGTTCTGCCATCTGATTGGTGCCAGAAAACCCTTGTGTTTTTCTGCCCAATCAGAGTGAAGTGTGCTTTAGAGTCCTTTCGTGTGTTTTAACACGGACATATAC